AAAAAAAAAAAAAAAAAAAAAAAAAAAAAAAAACCACCCCGGCAAATGGGATAAGATGCCCTCTTAGACTATCGAGCATGGCGAAATAGGATCACCATAATGCAGAAGCAATCTTAACGCTGACACTGAGAAGTAATCACAACCAGGGCTCAGGGGCGTGTACAGGATTTGTACCAGGGGGGGGGAGGGTCTAACCGTAAGGCAAACTTGCAAGCACTCGAAGGGGGGGGTCCGAAATTTGTGAAATTAGACCTCCTTAGATGCGTTTTCTGCGCGAGCAGGGTGGGGGTCCGGACCCCCTGGACCACCCCCTGTACACGCCCCTGGGGCTGAGCCTCGATGACAGCGGTTCGTTCCCGTCCTCAGTCCTCTCTGTTCCCGTCTCCGTGGATAGCGAGACACGAGCCACGACTCAGTCTAATCAAGGACTGCAGAATGCAGTCACCACATTCGAGAGCCAAATCATATGTTCACAATGGCAACTACACTGCCATGATTCAGTGACTGGTGGTTGAATTCACAACCTTCCCACTTGCTAACTAACACGTATAAATGACTCAGTCCTTGATTGACTGAGTGAATGGGCCACCGGCAGCGATCGATGTATCTTCTCCGGGTTTGAAAGCGATTCCAGTTCTTTATCACACATTTCCTACACACTATTCCCGAGAATCTCTCGCCGTTTATTGTAAATCACTAGAAGTAACAAAACGAATTATGAAAATAATTTCAATGTTAACTTTACGTAAGAAATAACTCTAGTTGTTTACCTCCGCCGCCATCCTGGAAACTATGTGATTTTGGTGCGGACTTTTCACGCAGCGAGATTAATGTAATATCGCCAAAATACAAAATTATAATAGCTTGAATTATAATAACTTATCTTTCTTTGAATATAAGTCAAATGAATTTGTCTGTAAATTGTTTGTGCTCGAATACAGTTTTATTCGTATCATTTTAATTTGCCAATGCGATACTAGCTTGCATGGGGTGCGTTCCCATTAAAATGGCAGCGCACATTAACCAAATGTGTAAATTTGTTCAGTATGGTAAAAAAGCATTACTTATATTAGAAGCCAGTAAAAAATTAACCAACCAAAGCCGTTGCTTTCATCAAGGTAATAATACATACTACACTTTCATATTTGCTGCTATACCACGATATACATCAGTATGATTTCTTTAGTTTATACTTATACTTATAAGTTATAGTTATAGTATACTCAGCTTATACTTATAGTTATAGTTAGGCCTATATTCATGCTTTTTGTCACAGTGTAATTTTGCTGTTTAATCTTTAGGAGTCATCTAAGCCAATTATTCAAACACTTTACATAAGTAAAATTCTATCTCGGTAAGTAGGCCTAGTATTTGCGATTTTATGGTGCGAATTTGTGCAATGACCAATGTGTTGCCACAATGCCAGTGCCACTAATGCACTATTGCCAGTGGCAGTGAGGCTGATAGGGTCTATGACTATGTCCCCCAAGGGTACTATCGCTGATAAGGTCTATGTCCCCCTGGGTACTATCGGAGGGTACCCTGGGTACGGTTCGATATATCGGAAAGTACCTCGGGGTACTATACGATGTCGCTGCGTACCCTGCATTGTCCCACCACAAAATTATTTTATTTTATAGGCATTTCTAACCATGTGAGTTCCAAATGGGTGTATGGCTCTCATAGCAAACGACGTCGACTGGCCGCTGAGAAAAAGCAAGCAGAAATGGAAGAAAAGATAGAAAAAATGACCAAGCAGATGGGAGATTATCCTGATCAAGTAAATCTTATTTCAAAAAGATACTATTGTAGCTGAAAAATAATTCAAAGTTAATGAATTTTTTTATGGGTTATAGTGGCATTTCATTGTAATGATTACTACTTCTATAGGAATTGTTATAGAAATGTAGGCGAGCTAAGAATGACGCGTGCATAAAAGACCATCTTCAATCAAACTACTGGCACTATGTAAATGCAAGAGTCACCTTGATGAAAAGCTTCCAAGATGTGCCATTGCTTCAGGATTCTGCATACTTATGTTCTGTTTTGCAGCCTTCCCTGAACATGGAAAATCCTTATGTAAAGGACAAAATTGAGTGCATTTTGTGCAAACACAATATCGAAGTTGACTATAAGGTATGTTATTTCGAACCATAAATTTAACTATGAAGGTCTCAACATCTCACATTTGAGATGCTCTTATGCACTCTCAGTTCCAGCCATAATTAGCAGCCATGGATTACTGACAGGTCCTGCATAAAAATCATTAATTTACAAGAAATGTTGCAATATTCAGCAGCCATTTGTCAATGCTCAGACTAATATTGATTATTTGATTGATTGATTGATTTTTAATTGAGGTTATTGCATGTGGTCATTTGAACCTTACATGTACTTGCAGCACCTGTAAATGCCAGGTCATGTTATTCAGGTTACAAAGGGGATATTTCATAATTGTACATATCTGCATTTTGAAGCGTCTGCCATCATGTTAACATCACAGAAATCAAAGTGTTAAACTGATCGTTCAGAACTTACTAAATATATAATTGATATGATTTCTTTTTCCTAGAATGTTAGACTTCTGAGCCAGTTTGTGTCACCTTACACTGGAAGATTGTACGAGCAAGGAGTGACAGGTCTGTGCAAGCATCAGTATGAAAAGGTTGTGAAGCACATCAAACTAGCACGAAATTTAGGTAATGATTAATTTGTAAGCATGTTACTTATAAAATGACAATAACAAATATAACATACTCATAATTAGCGTCTTTTACTATAATCATATTTGTTTACAATGGTTTGTTAAAGCGTTCAATAACATGGAAGAACTCATTGAATGTTTAAGGACTGCAGTTGTGACTATTTTTTAAGAGTTAACAAGTTTCTATCGTTTTGAACTTATTGTTTATTAATGCAGTTTTTTTGGTTGCAGGATATATGCCGTTCATGGTGAAAGAAATAAATTACTTGAAGGATCATCGATTATTTGACCCACTTCACCCTAAATATAAGATTCTGTAAAGGAAGTCTATGTTTATCAATCTTTTGTCTGTTTAAAAAAAATATAGTATTCACCTCCCAACCTGACTTACTTGTCTCTTGATTGTGGTGCCAATGTGACAACCAAGTCATAGTTATCGAGGAAAGGCCGTGAAAATGCAGTGAAAAACCCTGTCAGAGAAATAAACAGGACGTACTAGACAGGTTAGTACACGATGAGAGTTATAAATGAGCAGTGCAGTGCATAGCAAATAAAGCCAGTTACAAAAAAATAATGTCTCGATACTGGATAGCTTTGCGGGTGGAATACCAACAAGTAACAAGTCGACTCACACACAGCACAGCTCACTTGAACGCTTGTTTCTAATAAAAAATATAATGCTACAACTAAATACCCGCAAACTATTTTACTACCAAATTTCTTAATGTTCTCTATACTCTACTTCTCACCTATTATTGCGACAGTTTCTTATAATTCCGTCCAAAGTACTACGGCCGCAACATATATTGCTGCCGGAGCCATTGCTCTCGCGGCTCACTGTTGCACGCTTCACACTAATATTATACTTAGCTGTAAGGAGTCCGTGCACTAGTGGGAGCCCGTAGCCGCCGAATGGGCGCCATGGCCCAGCAACGTATGGTCTTGCAGGCAAATCCCAGGGCTTGAAACTGATATCGCTTCGCACCGCACTTCGCCGAGGCTACGCCTAGAAATTCATTAAGGGCTAGTAGATGTCTGGCAGTTCTGACCAGCCTCCTAGTTGGCGGAGCTGACATTTTTCTAGTATTCTATAATCCGCCCGCACCCGCCTCCACACCGTCCGCCTTCACCTTCCTTCACCATTTCACGGTCCAGCCGCGGTTGCACAATACGCTGCAAACGTCACACCCATGCTCTAGCACGTACTCTGTCTGGACACTTCCTTAGATACAAAGTAATGAACATCACTGTGTTTCAACAACACCACATGCCTCTTTTTTAACACATTGCTATTAACACAATGTTTTTCGTGTTCAAAAAATTTTCAATTTCTTTTTTACTCATTCCGTGGCACTTGAACAGTGTTTAGTAATGTTCAGTAAATGTTAGTAGTATTTTTAGTACTTATTAGTACCCATCTAGCTTAAACTGTAATTGTAAGTGTGTGATGAAATACAAATTTCATGCCAACCTTTTAATTACTCCATATATATATAGCGTCAACTTGATTCCAGCAAATCATATTACCACATTAACCAATATTTTATTATCCTTCAACTATAGATGAGTGAAACAATCCGCGACACATGGCATGTCGTGCTGTCACTGCGACCATTAGCTGCAACTACCGTAAAAAACTGTTACATTGTTAGGCTTCTTGCTTCTATTACAGCCACTGCAGCATCCAACGGTTCGAGCCAGACGCGCATGCCAGCACCATGTTTTTAAATAATTATCCGCCGGACAACCAAAATCTTGTGTAGGGACAACGCATATACTGGGATACTCCTCTTGTCGTTCGTCACTCCGGACAACATCCCAAAAACAACCTTAAACGCTTGAGCACTGGCTATATATATCAAGGTTAATATAACCATAGAGTGGTACAATGGACAAAACTTTGGCGGAAGATAGTACTATTTCACGGCAATAATTATTTACTACTTGAGGCATGTGGGATGGCATGTATTAACGCTCAAATCGTCGGCTAGGAGTATTTCGTAGAGAGTCAAGGCGTAGTTGGTCTGTATCCTTTACACGAGAAGACACAGGATGTGCTAACGCAATACCATCTGAATATAGTCTTCAGAAACCGCATAGGCAACCAGATAGAAATACATATTCGCCGTGGAATTGTTGGCCCTGACTATTTTCCGTTGTCCAGCATCTCTAGGGTATTTTAATTAGCTCTTGACTATTTTATCTATCTATATTATCTACTATTTATACATATATACTTATTATGTATATACTTATACTATATATATTATAGTATACTGGATATATGGCTGAATCTAAATTTTCAAGTGCAAGGGAATTTTCGCAGAATGCATCTCTCGGAGCGTCCTTACAACAAAACCCAGATTCCACCCCTCACCCTCCCCCCACGCTCCCGACAATGGCAATTTTTACTCACTGCGGTAGCCTCAGTGCCAAGGGCACTTCAGAAAAGTAAGGGCTAGGCAGTATATTTTTACGTGTGGCTTAGTAGCATTTCTTACAGGTCACTAGCCCTGCTGCGCCTAGTGACATTTTAGCGTTAGTTTCAAGCCGCTGGCCAATGGCTCATGCACGTTAGGGATTTGGACGAATTTACAGGGAAACTGTGCGCAATGAATAGGTGAAACTGAGAAGTATAGAACATTAAGAAATTTGGTACAGCTAAATATAATTTCGTATTTAGTTTAGGCGATTATATTTTATGTGAAACGTTCAAGTGTCCTGATGCCTGTCCAAGTGACCTGTGAACCTAACACTGCAGCCCAAGAACAACGTCGCGCTGCAGCTACAGCACACACGACGCTATTGAATTATATACACTATCACTAGTACTACATACAGGTAGTATCATTTTCATACCTTTATAGCTCATGGGGCGGTCGTCGGCCTGTGCTCCTGTTAGAGATGTCAAGTGCTTTAGGGCTTAGTGCGCCTCAACCCCAAAATCCGCCTGTGAACTCTAAGCCAGCCCAAACTGTAGGCCTACCTGTCTTACACAGTACTATAACATATTTTGGGCACTTGTTATATTTTTTGTGCATGCCAGGATATCACAAACTTCATGATACATCACACTACTTAGCAATTTTGAATCCTCCATTTATTAGTTTTCTTAGCAAGAAGATACCTTTAGGGCACGGCCAAGTATTATTGCACATCCCGCCCACTCGCTTCTCTCACCTGATCACACACCTTCACCTCCTCCCCCCCCCCGCCCACCCACCACCTCGCCCCAGCAGCACGCTCGCGCAGTTCCAGTAGACTCGTACCCCGGTACCCACTCCTCTCGGCTTAGGGTTAGGGTTAGGGTTAGGTTAGGGTTAGGTTCGGGTTCCATCGTAGCTAAGTACGAGGTGGGAAGCGAGTACCAGCTCTAGCTCGGCTTAGACGGTCTCTCTTTTGTCGCCAAGTCCTATTTTGAAATATATCCCGTACGACAATACAAACCGATAGCTTTAACGAATTTTTTAAATAAAACAATCGCTTCTTAAATTTGTTTAAAAACAAATATTTATGTGATTAAAACTGTTTACTATAAAAACAACAATTATTATTTATGCAGATAGTTTATGTAATTTTGCGACTTGTCGTCAATCCGCTACAGTGGCAGTGTGACCTTGTAGTGTGTTGCTGCAAACCACTTGCACGTGGCAGCCGGAGGAATGCCAGCTAAAATTATGTGTACAGGAAATCATAAAGCGAGATTTAAAGGTTAAGGCCGCTATACAGGTTCGTGAAATAGTAAAATGGGTGTCAACACGCGTTACTCGCAGGCTGTTCCAATACTGAAATGATAGTAAATAAACACAAACTGTATTTACTCTCGAAGATATAATTATTGGCCTTGGCTTAGTACAATAAATCTGTGGCTAAAAAAATGTGGCGAATGGATAGTAGAACATGGGTCCAATACACCAATCTGCCACCCTAACGGGTATAGGGTTAAGGCGTCTAGTAACCCCTCACCCTAACCCTGAATTCTAACCCTAACCTAATCCTCATCCTACCTAATCCTAACCGCTAACCCTAACCTAATCCTAACCTGAACCTATAACATAAGGCATAACCCTAACCTATTATTTGATAGTAATATTATATGATTTAATTTATATTGATGTAAATGACATTGGATTTTTATTCGGGACCATGGTTCTCTATCCTTGAACCAAAAAGGTCTATATTTTGATGTTAATTTTTAGGGCCCAATAGGCCTTCATACACAGAACCTGGTGAATTCTGTCGCTGCCAAATGCCCCACCCACAAACCTTTTCAACTATTTAACGGCTCGTGATTACGAATGTGCAACATCAAAGAAAATACATAATAGCTGTCCGCTTTATTAACATCCTTACCTAATTTTACAAACACTTGTCATTGCAGTATTTCTCCTTTTAATCAGCGCTTTATTTTATTAAAACATTACTGACATAAAACATCACCAAACTTCGTCTCCACACAACAAACTGTCAATCTATGCAGTTGAACCTCACCCGTGACTAGCGTCCACGCCAAGTGATTTCATGTTGGCCGAGTTCAGAGAGAATGGTTCGTTTGTGCGGTTTAATCGGCCAGACTTGGCAGTCTCTTGTGTGTGAAGCGAAGTTTCGCAGCGTGATATCATCAAATATCAGAAGCACATACCATAAAGCGTCCTCGCCGCCGTCATCTCTCGTATACATTCTTACCCTACATTTACAAACAACCACTTCGTCATTCGCAGTAGTTCTCCTCTCTTTAATCACGTTGTGTTTTATTCACTCCAATCCATGTACGATAAAAATCATTGCAAACCTTCGCTACACAACAACTGTCCTCATACAACTTTGCGCTAACATCATGTGAAACCACTATTGGCATAGATTATTTCGCAGTGGCATATGCTAGTTGATTAGCTAGCGGAGAAAACAATGTCGAGGGGGGGGGGGAACACGATTCCACATCGGACGCCAGCATGGGAACGGCTCTCGTTCAGGCTTGTTTGGACAAATTGGCTCGCTAAATATTTATTCAGGAACATGTTTACCAACTTTTGTCCACAACTTCCTACTTTCGTGTGGTAATCTACACAGGTCAAACTGCCTATAGCATAACTTTTTCAGTTGCATACTAAAAGTAATCAAAAGTAAAAGTAAAGGTAGATACTTTTTAGTAATCCTAGTACTCGAAATATGTTACATGCCTTCCTTAGCGTATGAGCATCGCCTCCGAGGCCTCCTTATTTTCGGCTTGTCGCAAACGGCCAGTTGGCTCGCCCCGTTTGAGCGGAAGCACTCACCCCTGTATTCTCAATCGATCTGCGCCCCGCTTTAAATTACCTCCCCGCCGATTAAAATTCACCACCCAATACAGTTTGACAGCGCCTGGGAATCGAGGTGGCAGGTATGTTTACATGAACAGAAGTATTTCCGCGTGGGACTGGATT